ATGCAAGTCGAAAAGATGCTCGTGTTTTAAGTCAGATGTGCAGTGCACTGAAGTCTGTTCTTGCAATGGATGTGGCAACATGCTCCCTGTTGACGATGACGAAGATAGCTTATACGATGAAAGTGAAGATGATGATCTTGTTAGCCAGGTCTACGACGATGAGAATACCTTTAACGATTAACTTGTAACTTCAGTAAGGCCCGGGTCGCACTTGGACCGGTTTTTCGAATTGTTTCAAACATGTTCAGTACAAACGCCGAGCGAATCATTGGCGTAACAATTCCAACTCACTTTATTTGTGGTCGCACTATGGTCTAAATTGTATTTACACTATGTAGTGATGACAGATAAACAAATGTTCATATTGCATATCAAAATATCGGATGACAATATAACTTTTGGCGCACTTTTTAAGCATTCGATGGTTGAGTTACGTTAGCTGAGAGTTTTTGATTTCCTGTTCAAGATGCATTTAAACGATTTACAACTTCTATCACTCTTGTATGTGCTCCTGAGCTTCACTTTTACAGCTGGAAATATCCAACGAGCTGTATTGCTGGCATGTATTCAAAGAAATAGGGCTTTACGGCTACAAATATTAACAACGATTCGAAGAAGGCATGCCATTCAAAGACGTCGACGTCGACGGCGCTTCTGGATGTTACCACGACCACGAGTTTCATGGTTTGAAATGTTTTATAGAAATTGTGTGATCCCAGATGAGTATTTTAAAGAACAACTGCGTTTGAAGACAAATACTTTTGAACTTCTTTTAAATGTACTCAGACCGGCACTGACCCGCCAAAACACTTTCTTACGTGACTGTATCCCACCAGCCAAAGTTCTATCTCTTGGCCTTTACCGTCTTGCTCATGGTAACTCATATAATACGATAGCTGCTACTTTCAATGTTGGGAAATCTACTGTAATCGAAGCTGTTCAAGATGTAGTAGAAGCATTGTGTGACATACGAGAAAATTACATAAAATTCCCTTCCTCAGAGGATGAAATCGTAGAGTCAAGCGAAACCTTCGATGATCTGACAGATATTCCTAATGTTGTGGGCGCTATAGACGGTACGCACATTAGAATAAAAAAAACAAATGACAGTGGACCAGATTACTTCAGTCGCTACCAGCAATATGATGTTGTTGTCCAAGGAGTTGTAAATGGAGATAAAAAATTTATTCATGTAGCAGCTGGTTTCCCTGGAAGCATGCATGATGCTAGAGTTTTTAAAAATAGTAGTTTATACCACAAAATTGCTACTGGCGAGTTTTTACAGGCACCAACCGTTAGAGTTGAAAATAGAGACATAAAACCCTTGCTTTTGGGTGACAGTGCATATCCCCTGACAACTTTTATTCTTAAGCCTTACCCCGAAAATACAAGAGACCCCAAGGAAGTACATTTCAACAAGGAACTTTCACGTGCAAGGGTATCAGTTGAATGTGCTTTTGGAATGCTAAAAGGACGTTGGAGGATACTCCAAAAACGATTGGACAGCAACATTGCATTTGTATCCAAAATTATCACTGCATGTTGTGTACTACACAATTTTTGTCTCGATGCTGACGATGTTTGGGATGTAGACGATGACAATCAAAACCATAATGCAGCATTTCAAAACATTGATGCAGGCGGGGAAGACTTGAGAGATTTTCTCAAAAACTATGTATGGAGCCTTTAATACAAAAGACTAAAAACATGAATCATTTATTTCATTATCTGCTTTATTACTTGATATATTAAAAGCATACATGATTTGATAGTGAGGCTAAATATACTTTGATAACATTAATAAAGGTTCTTTTATTCATTTTGTTCGCAATGCACAATAATTTGTGACTCTGACATGTCATGCAGGCATGATTTTCGTCTGTTTGAGTTGAACTAAAATTTGATAAGGAACTACTACTTAACATATAGAAACGATTGAATAGAATTGAAAACACATCAGCTTAAACTGAATTCATATATGGAATATAATAAAACCCGAACTACAGTTATGTAAAAATTACATGAAAAAAATTCAGTATTGATTACATATTGTCATTAAAAATAATATACCACTTATCTTTGTTGTTTCTGTTATCAGAATTGTTGTGCATCATTTTCATCATATTGTTCATAAACTGGCTCATAACCTGTAGCTGCTGAGATTGGTTTTTCGCCATCGATTCTAGAATATTGTTCAATTTATCTCCTTGTTTTTGCAATGAGTTGATCTGTCCAGCAAAMGGATCATCTTCCTCGTCATCAAGTTTTACAGCTTTTCTTGCGCTCTTATTATTAACCTTCTTGCGTTCTCTCCTGCCTCGCTTTTTGTTTGTGCTTTTAGGGAAGCGAAATATGTCCTGATCTTCGGTATCGTCATCGTCACAACTCTTATCTGCATCAGAGTCGTCCTTTGCTGTTGATGTACCGCTTGAAATACTTGGTGAACTTGAAAAAGTGTGCCAGGCTGGTAATCATCATCATTCTGGTCCGCTGGGCCGTCCCAGTTGTAGTAAAAATGGTTATTCATGTTAAAATATGAGATCCAAAATATGCTTGTTGTGAAGACGTGTAGATTGTYCACAAAGAAGAATACCGCASGCCTAKCGGTAATGTGAGCTTCAGCAATATAGTTGGGAGCKCCGTTTGCGGAAATAATGATTGACGTTTTTAACGCYAKTTTGTTTGYTGAACTGCAAAAGTAGGGCTAAAAAGCAGTACATCRGCGGCTTTGAAGTTTTGTTGCGRAACACAATTTTAGAACGGTTCGAAACAAATCGGTCGCACTTGTTTTGGTACAGTGKTGACAGAATTTTGACAGTTTGTGCTAAACTAAACAGAATTGTTCTAGAATTGTTTCAAAGTGCGACCCGGGCCTAAGGTATGCTTCCAGTGTTGAAGAGTACTTCCCGTGTTTAAGACTGCCTTCCGTTTTGAAGACCGATACCCGTGTCAGTAAAGACTGCATCCCGTGTTCAAGAGCGATACCCGCGTCAAAGACTGCTTCCCGTGTTGAAGAGCGATAGCCGCGTCAAAGACTGCTTCCCGTGTTGAAGAGCGATACCCACGTCAAAGACTGCTTCCCGTGTTGAAGAGTTCTTCTCTTGCTAAAGACTGCTTCCCGTGTTGAAGAGCGATACCCGCGTCAAAGACTGCTTCCCGTGTTAAAGAGTACTTCCCTCGAAACCGAGCATCTCAAGGACAAGCAGCGCCGAAAGCAATGTCGCCTCAAACTCAAGAATAGACGCCTCCGAAGCCAACAAATCTCAACTTAGCCAAGCTCAATCGTTACCTATATTCCTGTCAAGCTGCAATGGATGGGAAATCAGATATTCACTTATGCCATGTTGGATAGTTGTAGTACCGGCACCTTTGTCACCGAAGATGTCTACGAGAGATTGAAGATAAAGGGTTGTAACGGCGATAGAATAATTTTTGTTTTCTTTGTTATGTGTATTTAAGCTTATTTATTTTGTCACGTCACGTTAGTCCCTAGTGCATTGTAGTTAAGTTAAATTCATTTACATTTGCATAATCGTCCTCTTTTACCGTTTACCGTCTGAGCACAAACATCGTTTTGTAAGTATAGTTTTTCGTCGACGTTTTTTTCAAGTATTTAGCTACAATCCCGGACAAAACTGTTGAGACATTTCTTGAAATAGATTGAATTTCGATGACCTATCGGAGTTTTTCTTTAAAAAATCTCCCCCTTTCTCCCTCAAATCAATGTTGAAGGGACTGGACATTCATGCACACCCTTCTAGCATMACGTCTAATACACAACATTGAACTGTTGGGGGAGGTGAGGATCAGAAATAGTGACTTTTTAGAAAGATGACAATTGGGAGTATTTCGGCGCGAAAAATGCCACTGTCTCAACAGGTTTTGTCCGGGATTGTAGTTTATCGTTGTAATTTATCATCGTAATTTTTGTAGGAACCATGTACGTTTCATACGAATGCGTTCGAAACTTGTGAAAACCGATTACTAGTCAAAGGAATAAACGACTATTATATTCGTTCAAAACGATGTCAAGAAAATTCACGGTGAAAGGGAAGGCCTACAACGAGGAGAGACGGAGAGYCAACTGTAAATCTATAGTAACAARAATCCGAAAGCTTCAAAAAAATATTGAGATAAACTGTCAACAATTCGATAATGTTCATCTGGTGCAAAGCGACTTGGAGAATGTTTATCAACTTGGCGACGAATTGAAGGAGCAATATGACTCATGGATATCCTGTTTAGACCACGAAGTCGATGTTCATCATGCCCATAGCTGGTACGAAAATATCAAGCACGAAATAGAAGTATTTGTGGCAGGAATTAACGACTRGATAACCATTGCAAAAGATCAAATCAAAACTCATCTACGAACGCCCTCGGAGCAAGGAAGTGTTTGTGCATCGCTACAATCAAGTAWATCCGCCGCACGAGTAAGATTGGCAGAGCTATTGACCCGATCTGAAACGTTGGAAGAAAAACAAGCTCTAAGAAATCGTATGGAGAGGCTCGAAATTGACGAGCAAATTGCCATCGCCAAAGCACAAGAACGAGCTATCTGCGAGRCAGACGAACAAAGAATGTCCAAAACAACACTGGCACTTTTACCTTCACGAAAAGAAAAAGAAAAATTCGATCTCAAAATGAATATTGGAGCGACAACTTTTCCAGATATGTTGGGAATGCCCTCGTTGGGCCAGATAATCCACCAACAGGTCACAGTTAATACACAGTAAAATCACCGGGTCGCCATCTTCTCACATGTAATTTTATTTTCCAATGACGTCACAAGTGAAAATGACATGAATTAACATGTATATCATTACATGGTTAACGAACACTTATACAATATTATGTCACATACGATCAGAGTTCAATATGTATCAATCCGTTAAACAACTGGCACAGTCTACAGTTACACTATTACAGTTTTACAGTTTAACTCAACAAAGTTCTCAGTGTCTCAGAATCACTCCTCAGATTTTCAAGCTTCTTCACTAATACGTTGCTTGGCCACTTCCTTCGCGGCTCGGGGTATTTGTACTCTGGTAATTCACTGTTGTCTTGGAATAGTAACTTCATGATCACATGAAAGTTCTAAGGGGTAGAGTTATTGTACAGCACGTTCCAGTACTCCTTTTCCAGCTCTTAGCTTGGCTGCTCGTGTCACACCATCGCGTCCCACGATAAGATCCTGCACAATTCCAAGTTTCCAGTAGTTTCTGTTCTTTTCGTCTCCTCTGATGATCACTACATCTCCTTTAGCTAGCCTTAGATGCTTTGTGTTGCATTTCAGGTTGTGTCTTTCACGTAATCCACGTACATA